ATATGAATACAGGTGGAATTTAAAGTAGTTATGGTACAGTGGGCAAAAAGTTCTCAATACTAAAATTCAGGCTTATGGTAATTTTATGGAAAGTAGCAATCATGGAAAATCATAGATTGGATTTGCAACCTAAGAACTGTATCTGTAAAAATGTTTTTTTCTTAATTTTTAAAAACATTCCCAGCACCCATGTGAAATAATTCAGGCTTGATGGTGCACATTTGTAACCCCAGTGCTGAGGAGGCAGAGACAGGATAATCTCTGGGCTTGCTGAACAGGGAATCTAGTACAGCAGGTGAGCTCCAGGTTCAGGGAGAGACTTCTTCTCAAAAAAAAAAAATGAAAAGCAATGGAAAAAGATACTGAACATTAACCTCTCTTCTCTACACACCTGTACATACATACAAACGTCACACAGAAAACATGATCACAGCATCCTACACAGAGGGGGCAGGGAGCTCTGGAGAAGCAGGGTTTCTGAGTCTGTGTTTTCTCTGTCATGCTATATTCTTATGAGGACATGGCAAAGTCATTCTTGTGTTGTGTGTGGGGCACTGGAACATTTTGGAAGAGGTCTTGTATTCTTGGGAGGCTCAACTCTGGATCAAGCTTGTAGAATAACTGACTTGGTCCAGCCCAGCTGCCTCACGTTCCTGACTGCTCTCCTGCCCGCACCAGCTCCACCATCCCCCTTCTCCCTTCATACTTTCATGACCAAGATACTCATCCAAAGCTGGCTGAGACTGTCCCTGTGCAAATATAGTCTGAGTGGAAGGGAAAGACCTTGGTAGAACACAAAGCTTAGAAAATTCCGGATGCCAGGATGAGGCAGGGATCTCCCGTTATTTTACCCACTTCATACACTAACGATCATGTCTCACATAGTACACCAGTTTTTCCAATGTGCTAGTAATGTCACATTGACCCCTCCACGTAGCTCTAAGTTGGTGAGGGGTCCCAGACAGTCAACAATTGGCTGAACCTTGAGTGGTCAGGGTACATGCAGAAAGGGAGCTACTGCAAGGAGCCAATCTCAGTGTAAACAGCCTGGCCTTGATTTAGCAAGACACAATACCTGGGAGTTAGTCTGTGCATATTCTATAGGGGCACCTTAGTCTGTTTTGGACTACTTCTAAGGTCTTTGCAAAATGTGCAGAAGGCTGTCTTTGAGACTGAGAATACCGTTACTTTCCTCCGGTAATATTTCTATACATCAGAATCACACAGCTTAGACAGAAATCCACAGCTAAATGTGTGCCCAGAGATGTAAAACACATGACCACAGGACTGTGGAAAGCACCCCACAGCTGTTCTTATTCGGGAGGCACAGCAGTGGCACCCGAAAAAGTTACAGACAGAAAACAACCGGTTCCACAGCCAGTGACCCCTCGGCTTTGCCAGGTGGGGATTCCCATCAGGGAGTTAGACGGCTGGTGGGGCGACTTGTCAAACACTAGTTGTCACCTGCTGTATGCTCCCACGGCCTTCGGCATTCATCATGAGTACTGGGCCTTGTTTCTAGCATGAGAAGATAAGTAGAATCTCTGAGGCTACCAGCAACGTCCTCTTTCTAACTTCATCTCCTAGTTTGCCAGCCTTAGCTAAGCCTCAGGCCCCTCCCAGAAAAGCAGCCCAGAATCAGACTTCCTTCTACCTCCCTATCCAAGCTTGCCATCTCCTAAAGGAACAATGCATTGGTCAATTCATCTCCCCTCTAAATGTTTAGCAGGCTCTACCTCCTACCTTCCAGAGTCAACACACACACACACACACACACACACACACACACACACACACACACAGAAAGAGACAGAGACAGAGACAGAGAGACAGAGAGACAGAAAGAGAGGTGGGGTGGGGGGTGGGAGAGGATCTTCCTGGAACTTCCTTCTGACCACCCTTGACTCTCTGCTCTCCTTACGGGATCTTTCCCTGGGTCTATCTCCCAACTCCTCTGTGAACTCCCCTTCAGTGCTGCTCAGAAGGCACTAGGTTAATCCCATGTGTTCATTCTTAGGTTAATTTCATTCAGTGTGCCTCAGGTTAATGCTCTAAATATGTTTTAGCCCCATTTAACAAGACCTTTGCCAATTTCCTGAGTTTTCTCTAGTACATCTTATATGATTCCTAAAGTTCCAAGAAATGGAAAACCTAACTTGAGTTTAAGCAATAAAGGAATTTATTGGCTCATATAAGTAAATGGGTTAAAGTTATTTGGAACTATTGGTGAAGTTTGAGCCATGAGTTCAAACAATGTAATTGGTGGCTGCAATTTGAATGAGTTTCCTAGGGGTTTACAATGGTGGCTCTCTTAAGAGGTAGTAGGACCTTTAAAAGAGGGCTCTAATAGGAAGTTATAGGTCATTAAGGATGATACTCCCACAAGGAATTGATGTAGTCATGTGATCCCTGGTTAGTTCTTGTGAAATACTTGTTATAAGAGAATGCTAGACTTCTGAATCGCTTTGGAATTTACTTTCTTGCAATATGAATCCTGTCTATTGAATGTATTTGCCATAATATCATCTGACATGAGGTCTTTCCCAGAGCCAAGCTGATGGCAGTGCTGTGCCTTTGTACCTCCCAAACTATTAGTGAAACAATCTCTTCTCTTTACAAATTACAGTCTTAGGTATATATTTTTTTTATAGTGATGGAAAAATGGATGAATACTGTTTCAGTGTGAGTATTTCTCAATTCTGTTAGGTGTTGAGTAAATTCTTGTTCAGCTCTTCTCATATCAATAGCACATGAGATTATATTCTTCCAGATCAAGTCCAATGAGAAATAGAGGAGAGAGAGAGAGAGAGAGAGAGAGAGAGAGAGAGAGAGAGAGACTGACTGAGAGACTGAGAGACTATCTAGACTCCTTAATTTAAGACTAAAAGTCTAGTTTCATTAGCTTTGGTTAGATGACATTGGTTCTGTAATTATCCTGGAAAAAATGAATCACTATGGGGAAGGTGAATAAATACAGACATCTTTAATTATACTACCAAATGGCCAGTGATAGGTAAGGTCAGCACCTTGGAGTTAGTTGTTGCCTAGCCCATGACTTTGACCACAGGATGACCTGCCTTTTGCCCTAGAAGGGTAACTAGCTGCCAGATTGTATCAGAAAGTAGATGGCAGGGTGTGACAAATAGACTATAAATTTTGTGCTATATAAACACAAGGCCATTCTGGAATTGGGGGTAAGGCTAATCTCAACATACCCCTGAGACATTAAATGAATGGCACTGGGTAGAAGAGGGGTTCAGGAAAATGATACTGGGGATTCACTCAGCCAAAGTCTACTCTAACCACTCAAAGCTTTCTAAGTTAGCCCTTTTCACTTTTAGGTGAACCTCACGTGGTCCTTGACAGGGCCTATGACTTGTTCATCAGCTTGATGCTCCCTTAGGTCCTTCCTCAAACACATCCTTTATCATACTTCCTGATAGGACCACGCTAATATACAAATTTACTATAAAATGTGAAAAGTCAGCAGATAGCTCATCACGTTTGCTAATTCTCTGACCTGAGTGAACTGTATTTTCATTGGGATAGAGTGAATCCTGGATATGAATTTTTACGAGTGGGGTAGACCAATAGAGAAGAAACTATTGGAGTTCCTTTCATCGTTTTATATCTTGCTTTTCTACCTGTGAGTAAGTCTGGATATGCTATCTCCCCAACAGGGAGGAGGCTTGGTCTCCTCTGCAAGAAAGGACAAGAAAGCCATGTTGACAACACACTATTCTCTGAGTCAGGACCTACTGTTGGAGTTCCAAGTCCACCTGTGCCCTGGTTTGACCCTGTCACTTCTGCACTCCACTCAGTCTTTGTTTTTCTGTCCCTACTGAAGATCTGACTTCCATAAATTGACCCTCCTTTATGCCCTTGCTATCTCCCGATTTAGTTGACTGGGGGACATCAGTAGGAGGTTGAAAAGTGGAAAAAGAAAAGGTTTGGAGTACAGTTCCCTGTGCCAGCATTATGTCTAGCAAATGCAGTTCCAGCTTATTTGTGGGCACACCATTCTTGTTTCTTTTTGCAAGCATGTTGATGGGATTCTTGTTGCTAATTTATGGATGCCATGTCAGATGTTGTCTGGTGCTTTATAACCCTAGCTACCCTTTTGAAAGGACCCTTACATCAATATTGGTGGTGAATTCTGTGTTTTGTGGCTGTCGAGAATGATACAACTCTACATTGGAGGGAAAATGGCAGGGATTCTCTGTCAGGGCAGGTGCTTCAGCTAAGATTGTCCTTCAACAGAACCTTGGCTGTGGCATTCAGAGCAACTACTGTCTTTCTGGGATACTGGGCATTTCTCTACTCATTATTGGGCCTGAGTGGCTCCACCTATTCAAGAGGGATTTGATGATTTATCTTCATCATCTTGAAAGTCTATTCTATATTCCTGTCCAATTTGTACTATGGTTTTAGGGGTAGTAGTTCACCCTCCTTTGATCCTTTTGGGGCTATGACATAGTCCCTAAAGTCATCTCACAAAAAAGGGACTCAAAACATTATGAAATAGGCAAAAGTATGAGTCCCATCATTGGTCCACATTAAGGGGACAGTGGAAGCTGTCTAATGAGAAAGCACAGATGATCTTATCTGGGAAACAGATGTAAAGAAAGAGTACCTATGTCCTCTGTGGGTGGGTTAAGGGAAATAGTGTGTATAAAGTCTCTTAAACATAGAAGGTACTTGTAAATAAGAAGGCAGTTGCAATGATCGAACCAAGAACTGCCCTATGTTCTCTTCTCCAAGAAACCAAGGTGGGATGCTCATGGTCTGGTCTCTATTAAGCTGTATTTTGGTAGAAGTCAGTCATGTTCTCTCTGTTGCTTATGAACTTTGAGGCAACTATCTCCACCCTATGGCACTCAGCCCAGTTTGGGCTGCTGCTGGCTGTCGGGCGTGGCAAGGAGGTGGGAACTGGCAGGGTGCCTGTGTCCAGAGTATAAGGCAACCTGTGGGCAGCTGGAGGCAGCTGGGAGTCTGGACCCTGCAAGTTTAGCCATGGCACTCAGCCTCCTCTCCCCGAGCCTGTCCCGCCTGGGCCTGTGGGCTTCTGTAGTGATCCTGATTGTAATCGTCCTCAAGCTCCTCAGCCTGTTGTTGCGGAGGCAGAAGCTGGCCAGGGCTCTGGACAGCTTCCCAGGGCCCCCTACTCACTGGCTTTTTGGTCATGCTCTTGAGGTAGGTGGAGAGGGGGATGTGGGAGAATCAGGACTAATTCCTTGGAGGCTAGGAAGGAGGCCATCAGTTCGGGCAGGGAGTAATGCCTGGAACCAAGATTCCTAGTCAGCTTTCCCACTCTTGCCTTTCAAGCTGCCTTCAGAAGCAACACAGCACTTCAGAGGTGGAGCTTAAGAAGGCCCAAGATTCTTTTCCATTATTCTGAGGCCCAAAGTGCAAGTCTTTGTTGAGGTTTGTTGATGAATCACACAGGGAAGAGATTGAATCCTCAAAGTGAGACCCAACAACTAGGCAGTCATGTTTAGATTTTTTTTTTTTTTTTTTTTTTTTTGGTTTTTCGAGACAGGGTTTCTCTGTGTAGCTTTGCGCCTCTCCTGGAACTCACTTGGTAGCCCAGGCTGGCCTCGAACTCACAGAGATCGGCCTGGCTCTGCCTCCCGAGTGCTGGGATTAAAGGCGTGCGCCACCACCGCCCGGCATGTTTAGATTTTTTATGTGTCCTGCTCTGTGTAGTGTAGAGATTTATACTACCAACAAGTGCTGCTTCCTGAGACTTCCCAGCATGTCTGAGAGGTTGGTGCCTGCAAAGCCAGGAGGTGCCTTCTGTGTCCCCTTCCTGTAGCTGAGAAACTATGGCATTTTCCCAGGCTCAGATCCTGGTTGGTTCTCCTGTAAAAGCATCACAGTAGGGGTCCACCTCAACATCCAGTCTCCCCAGACCTTCTGGGGGTTTGAAGTGAAATGGGAGAAGCAGATGCACCCCTCCAACTTCTGGAGATTCTAATAAGTCAGGTTGTAACTAGACACCTAAGATTAAAAGTCTTCCTGAATGTTTTGAGCTGCAGGCAGGTTTGGGAGCCTAGGCATGGATGCCAGGGATAGTCGCAGAAAGGGAGTATAATTCTTTCTACTTCCTTATTCCTCCATCTGGGAATTGCCCATCTTTTGGAATTGACACTGGAAATGAACTTAATCTCTAATCTTATTCTTGTCCCCTGTTGGGGATAGCCTATGAACTTCGCTGTATCACTGAGCATCCAGAATTAATTTCTAAAAAGGATGGTTTGGGTGGGAGAAAACAAACACTAGAGCCTCCCCTGCTCCCAGGATGGTAGAGGTGCCTCCCCAGGGTCCACTTCTGCTTCATTCTTTTCATCTTTCCTGCTAGTCTGAGGCTTCTGGAGAATAGAGATCTGGTCTGATTTATTTCTGTGCCCCCAAGGTACAGCACACAACTTGATACAGACCAGGCATGGCTGAATGAATGAACCCAAAAGGCTAGATTATAGGGAGAGGTGTCCGCAGAGGCCAGAGAGTAGTGAGGAAGGGAGGTGAGGGATCAGGAGGACTTGGGAGCGTCTCTGACAACTCTGGGAGGTTGAGGTTACACCCTGAAGGAGCATGAGAGACACATGGGAAGGGGCCCTCTGTACCTCCCACTTCGTGCTTAGCTGCTTTCTTCAGAGTGGGGAGGACCCCCAATCAGTGGACTTCTATAGCATGGAGTTCTTACTCTCTCAGAACTGCATGCCAGAGCTGGCTGCCCTCTTCTTCCCAGGGCCTCCACCCCACCTTGGAAGTACACAAAGAGCCTGGAACACAGCCTAGCTTCAGCTGCTTGTTGCCAATACCACTATCTGGAGGGCTTTGGCTTGACCCCAGGAAGGGCATGCCAAGATTGGAGTGGTGGCTGATCTTGAGTACTATACAAGTTCCCTGGGGAACCATCATAGGCACCCCACCATTGCATTCCTTCAGGGCTTGGCACCTCTCTCTGCTGTGGGTTGGATTCACACCTAAGCCTGTGAAGGGCAGGGTGTGGATTTGTTTCCCTAGTGTGAGAAAAGATGAGGAAGTTGAGATTCGAAGGGACAAGGTGTTCACTTAAGGACATTTAATAGTTCAGGATTCAAATTAAGGCTGGACCAGGGACCTCCTGCATTTTAATCCAGACACAGTAAATCAAAAAAGCAAACAAAAAACTAATCAAATAACCCAATAAATAAATAAAAAAGCCAAGTAACTGATATTTGATTCTAACGTAGTGGGGATGCGCACGGGAAGGAACGGAGGGTAGGTGGGTGTAGGCCTGGGGTGTGGAAGTTTCTACCAGGATTAGTTTCTCCCTTCTTGATTTCCAGTTGCAATCTGGAAGCACTAGTAGCATCTACCTTTCATCCTATTCAGATCTCAGAATGTGTCCTTTTGAGGCAGGGTGTGTGTGTGTGTGTGTGTGTGTGTGTGTGTGTGTGTGTGTGTCCTTTTCCTGAGGAGCACAGGGATATTCTCTGAGGGCTTAAGTTGAGGAGTTAGTGGGGAGCTGACATATCTAACCTGTGTGCAGTGGTGTGTGTGTGTGTGTGTGTGTGTGTGTGTGTGTGTGTGTGTGTGTATGTGTGTGTAGGGGGTATCGGTTTCCAGCTCAAGGAAAGGAAACCAATCCTCTGTGACCTCAGAGGCATCGTCTCTGGCCCTGCTTATTACTGGAGCAGCCCCCTTAGCATTGCACTGTATACTAAGAACTCTGGTTCGTTCTATTCAGCCAACACTGATCCTTGACCTTTGCTGTGCCCTGTTTGTTAAGTCATCCCTCCTCTCTGTTCTCTGTTATTGATTAAATGGGGGTAGTCATCTTCAGACTGCTGAGTTAGATGAGTATCTGTAGGACAGACTATAAGGACATAGCAAACAGCTGGGCAGCTAAATGTCAGATGTGAAATTTCTGTAGAGGATGCTTGATGCAAAATACTGCGACACATTTGTTTTCTTTTTCTTCTTTCCTCCCAAATCCATCTGGTCCTTGGTTTCCCCCAGTCCTCCCAGCAAAGATGTCTGAACAACTCTATGAAAGAGGAGGCAGAGGGGCAGGGACCAGGGTGAAAGGCAAACAGCAGCCAGGGGGCCAGGGTTAAGGGCGAGGAGGAGGAGGGAGGTCAGGGTTACTCCAGAGCTGGTGCTTCTTGTTTTGGTTGATTCTTCCTGCAAGTGCTTCTACTCTTCAGCTTTATTTAAAAATCTTAAAAAATTACATATTTTTAATTGGAATGGGATTATACCTCTACCCCTTTTCCTTCCTTCAGCGACTCCCAGTTACTCTCTCTCAAACCCCTCCCATGTCCCCCTCAAATTGATAGCCTCTTTTTCCTTATTATTGTTACATATGTATGTGTACACACACACGCACATGCACACGGACACACACACACACACACACACACACACACACACACACACACACACACTCCTCCTCAGTCTGTTTTTATTGTTGATACGGTTTCAAGACTCTATACTGGAAAACCAATAAGGGGTTCACCCCTGGGAGAGGCTCATCCTCCATCTTTCCCTGAGAGAGGCTCATTCTCACCCTCCCAACACTCATTACTTGCTTGCCGTTCTTTGTCTAGGGGTGGACCCTGTAAAAATTTCCGCCTTTCATGTTAACATGCTCATTGATACTGCCATTGTTCTGGTCTTGCTTACATGGCCATTTCTAGGAGGGATTGTTTCACAGGCCTCCTGATATCCTGTCTCTTATTTGAAGTCTCAGTGGCTTGGACTCACACATACCAGGCCCTAATAGTCTTATACATGTTAAGAAGAGAACCTAAAGGTCAAGACGACTGATTCTAGACACACAAGGGCACCAAGGGATAGCAATTGAGGAGGAGAGCAACTATGCTGATCCCCACAAGACTTCCCTGAGTAGCCCCAGACGGCACAGCAGAGACTCATGGGAAGAGTCCTGGCAGGTGGCATTCGGTTCAGGGACTGAGAGATCTTGTTAAGATCTGGGAAGTCAAAAGATGCCTGTTGAGTTAAATTTTTATACTGGAGATACCTGAGCTCTGCACTGGGACTTAGCATGTTGGAGAAGAGAAGTCCCTGTCTTCTACCCTCAATGGTTGGCTTTTCTAAACATTCACCTCTGTTTTGCAAGCAGATGAATTTGTGAGTGTGTGTGTGTGTGTGTGTTATGTATGTATATTCATCTGTGTGTGTGTGTGAAGACCAGAGGCTCATGTTGTATGTCTCCTATGACTCTCCACCTTATTTATTCATTTTTGAGAATTAAAAAACTTGCTTCTGTTTATTTTATGTATATGGGTATTTTGTCTGTATGTACATATGTATATCATGTGTACCTGGTGCTCATAGAGGCCAGAAGACGGTGTCAGAGGCCCTGGAACTGTAGTTACAGACGGTTGTGAGCCGCCAAGTATATACTGGGAACTGAACCCCAGTTGTCTGGAAGAGCAGCCAGTATTCTTAACTGCTGAGCAATCTCTTCACCCCCTTTAAAAAGATTTTTAAAAACTAAAAATTACATAAGTGCTTGCTTGCATATGTGTGTGTGTGTGTATGCGTGTGTGTGTGTGTGTGTGTGTGTGTGTGTGTGTGTGTGTGTGTGTATGTGTGTAGTGAATGTGTACACGTGAGTGCAGGTACTGGCAGAGTCCAGAAGAGGGTGTCAAATTCCCAGGAGCTAGATTTACAGGAAATTATAGGCAGTCCCATGCGGGTGCTGGGAACTGAACTTGGGTCTTTTTCAAGAGCAGTATGGCTCTTAACTGCTGAGCCATATCTATAGCCCCTTCCATTTCACTTTTTAAGGCAAGGTCTCTTATTAAACCCAGAGCTCTCCCTATTTTGGAAAGACTGGCAGGTCAGCAAGCCCCTCCCCTGATCTTTTTATCTGACTCTGAGGTTACAGATATATCCACCATGTCTGGCTTTTAAGTAAGAGCCTAAGGTTCAAACTCAGGTCTTCTTACACGGGAAGCAAGTGCTTCCTCTACTGAGCCATCTCCCCACACAGATTAATATTGTCCTCTAGCAGTCCCCAAGAGAGCTGTGGCTGCGGCAGACTGGTAAAGCAGGGAGCTTGCTCCTTGGACACTAGCCAACTGATCTTTAGGTCCATTAGCGAATGGCCTGAGCAGATTTGTTGACAGGAAGGACGGCAGGACAAGCTCAGTCATGATCCCTGTTCTGTTGTGTCATGTGAGACCGCTCTGTTGGCCTTAGAATGCACTGTTCCCACCTATGAAGAGGTCATGGTTCAATTAAACTTCATTACTGTCCCTCTCTGATTTTGTTCTTGGAGTCTAACTTACTCTTGGAGAACAAGACCTTCCTATTGTTCACTGCTGCCGGGGTCAACCCCGGTGCAAATGAGTGGATGAGGCAGGTTGCTGGAGAGCTGGGTGCAGTGACTTATATCCATTTCCTGTTTTTCCTCTGCTTCCTTCCTTTGGGAGAAAACAAGCTGTTCTAGATCTGATAGTAAGTATCCAGACTTAAGGCATCTGAGGATAAATCTGAGACATTTGTTGTGTAACTCAGAGAAGTTTGCCAGCAGTCACATGACCCTTAGAAGAACAGTGTCTCAACAGCCATTTTCAAGGATTGCAGCTGCAAAAGTGGGACCAGACCCTGTGAGCTGTCCTCACTCTCACTGGACTCCTGGGGACAATCAGGGTCCATAGGAGAAGGCTGTCTCTAGGGAGGTCATGACAATCCGTGACTGAGGCCAAGGGCTTGTGTCTGTGGTTGGAATACTGCAGAAGAGCACAGGCATGGCTCTCAGGAGTTGGGAAATATAGGGAGCAGAATGTAAGGAAACCCTATGTGGGGGAAGTAATTCACTCAAGCGTGATATAGACAACCGATTAAGCCAGTTAAGAGTATCAGAGATCCTTAATTCTGGGCAGCAAACAAGAGTGAGCTAATGCCTCAGAGCCTCTTGGTGCTGAAGCTCAGGGATATAGCATTTTTAAAGACAGAAACCACAATGACTTCAATGTTAGATGAGGGTCAGAGTAACCTTGCAACGTTTGTTTCAGCAGAACATAGTAGTTATTTAGACATAACATGACAATTATTTTTGACTTAAACATTAATTATTTTGGTTAATACATCTACGCCATGGTCCAAATCACAGAAATCTTGAATGTGTTGCCAAGACAGACATGGTTATTGAGAGTCTAGAGGCTTGAAAGTTCTTTAAGTGGACACAAAATGGAGTCAGGACAAAATGGTGTTAACCTTAGTTACTTCAGGAGCAGGCAGGAAAGAAGAGAGATGTAAGAGAAGGGAGAGAAGTCCAGGAATTACCAGCTAGGTAGGAGGACGGGCACCACAAATGTCCCTTTATCTGTAGGTAAAGATGATTTTTATCACTTTCACTCCCTGACATTGCATGCATAAGACCACCTTTTGGTTGAATTCAGAATTCAGAAAGATGACTCTATAGGCAGATTATACCTTTACATAGATATAGGACTGGGAGCCAGAGCTGCAGAGAAGGCACAACTGGTGATTTTAAAGGGAGTGGCTTGGGAGTGACAAGCGTTCCTGGGCTTAGAGCAGCAGCTCTGGGACTGGAGAGGGTATTAGAAATGTGCAGGAGAGTGGGGGTACAGGAGGAAGGAAGGAGGTTCCAGGCTCTGCCTAGGCAGTGTCTTTCCTTATTTTCCCAGAAACCTGGGGTCTTCTGGCTATACTGGGTTCCTGAGTGGTCCTTGTCTTCTGTTATCATTTCAGATCCAGAAGTTAGGGAGCCTGGACAAGGTGGTATCCTGGTCCCAACAGTTCCCCTATGCCCATTCTCTCTGGCTTGGACAATTCCTTGGTTTCCTGAACATCTACGAGCCTGACTATGCCAAAGCTGTATACAGCCGTGGGGGTGAGGTTGCCTGGAGAGAGGGTGGGGTTTCCTGGGAATGATGGGCTCAGGGACCAAGTTGGGGAAGGTCAGGGCCTGTGTCTAACATCTTGGATGAGAATAACCAAGTCCCTACCTCATTCATCACTATGCCTCACCTGGGAATATCCTGTTTCTCTGTGACTGACATCCGTTTGTTCTGCAGACCCAAAGGCTCCAGATGTGTATGACTTCTTACTCCAGTGGATCGGTAAGTGAACGTCTATTTTACTGTACCTTCCCTTCCCTCCCTTGTGCTAAGTGACCAGAATCCTGGCCTGCCATACTCAGCCGATTGTCCCTCCAGTGGACTGCCTGGCTCCTGAGTGCCTGTCCTAAGCTTAGCATCTCTGTGGGGAGGCAGGAGAGCAGCAAGAGAGCTCCTGCCTGTTGCAGGAGTTAGATAGACACTTACCCTTGCTGGACATTCATCTTCCCTCTCTTCTAAGCAGAAGCAAGGCAATGTGTCTTTGAAGAATGGCTTTCTAGAGGAGGCAACCCCAGAGTTGATCCTACAGGATAGTATAGTGATGTTTGTTTCTGGAAGAAGGGTCTGAGAAAAGGTGTAGTCGCTGTAGGACCATGGAGGCTGCAAGTGTTTGAAAGGCAGACTTCAGTTAGTAGATGGGGCCAGTCAGGGAAGATGGGCCAATGTTGGCTGTCAGTATGTGGACTGATGTTGAAGGTGGAGGGAGCCACTGAGTCATCTACTTCTTTTAATTAATTAACTAGTTGATTGATTAATTGACTCTGAGACAGAGTTTCACTATGTTGCCTTAGCTGTCTTAGAACTCTCTATGTAGACTAGGCTGGCTTTGAACTCACAGAAATCCACCTGCCTTTGACTTCTGAGTGAGTGCTGGGATTGATGGTGTACACTACCACACCTGGCCTTATTCTTATTTTTACTTTTATTTATCTCTATGTGTGTTTGTGTAGATTATGCCACTTGTGCACAGGTACCTATGTTCGATCCCCTTGAACTGGACTTACACGTGGTTGTGAGCTGTCATGTGTGTTCTGGGAACTGACCACAGGTCTTCTGTAAGAGCAGTGAGGGCCCTTGATCACTGACCCATCTCTCCAGCCTCCTCTGAATCTTCTTGATCCAAGGCCATATGCTTCTCCAAAGTTCCTTTACTTATTTATTTACCCTTGGAAGCTTCCTGGGAGCTAAGAAAGGGCTGCTTGGTAGGAAGGTAACAGTCTTAGACTATTGACTTAGTCAAGATCTGCTACCTTCTCTATGTTGGGAGGTCTCAGTTGGGAGGTTTCTATGTTGGGAGATCGCAATTGGGTACCAGAGGTCTATATTGGTTCTTGTAGTGCCTCCCCACAGGGTGTTCCAGCTTTGGGAGTGGCAGAGGTTGTGGTTGATCCCAGCTCTCATGGGTAAAGCAGGATTTCCTGGATTCCACAGCCTCCATCTCCCTTCCCTCCTCAGGGAAAGGCTTACTGGTTCTTGATGGGCCCAAATGGTTCCAGCACCGCAAGCTGCTCACACCTGGGTTCCATTATGATGTGCTGAAGCCCTATGTGGCCATATTTGCTGAGTCCACACGTGTCATGCTGGTGAGTACCCTCCCTATGGCAGATCCTGGAACTGTGGGCTGCTGGACCAGCCTTCTGTACCCATCCCAATTTGCCTTGGGTGAAGGCAAGTGGTGCTCTCCTGTGGAGAGGGTCCCTGAAGCCCTGTCCTCATTATGACTGCAACAATGGTGCCAAAGGTTTTTAAAGTATATCCTCATGACCCTCTGGATTTCCTTGGTGTCTGTTGTTATGTTCCCCCTTCATCTCTAATTTTGTTAGTTTGGATATTCTCTTTGCTTTTAGTTAATTTAGATAAGGCTGCAGTTCTCAACTTGTGGGTCATGACCCCTTTGGAGGTCAAATGACACTTTCACAGGGGTCACATATCAGATATCCTGCATATAAGATATTTACATTATGATTCATAACAGTAACAAAATTATAGTTATGAAGTAGCAACAAAATAATTTTATTGTTGTGAATCACCAAAACACGAGGAACTATTTTAAAGATCACAGCATTAGGAAGGTTGAAAACCACTGTGAATACGGGTTTGTCAACCTTATTGATTCTGTCAAAGAGCCAACTCTTTGCTTCATGGATTTTTAAAATGTTTTTTGTTTGCTTCTATTTATTGATTTCACCCTGAGTTTGATTATTTCTTGCCTTCTATGTTTTTGGGTGTGATTTCTTCGTTTTGTCCTAGAGCTTTCATGTGTGCTGTTGCTAGTATGAAATCTCTCCATTTTTTTTATGTAGGCATTTAGTACTATGCACTTGCCTCTTAGAACTGCCTTCATTGTGTCCTGTAAGTTCAGACATGTTTATTCCTTTTCCTTCAATTCTAGATTTTTCCATTCAATTCTAGAATTCATTCAATTCAAGCCTTTAATTTCTATCTTGATGCATTTTTCATCCAGTAGTGTGTTGCTCAGTTTCTAAGAGTTTGTAGGCTTTCTGTTGTTTCTGTTGTTGTTGAGATCCAGCTTTAGTCTGTGGTGGTTTGATAGGATACTGGGTGCTATTTCAATTTTTCTGTATTTGTTGAGACTTGCTTTGTGTCTGAGTAGGTGTTGTTTTGGAGAATGTTCTATAAGGTGCTGAGAAGAAGGTCTATTCTTTTGTGTTTGGGTGAAATGTTCTGAAAATATCTGTTAGGTTCGTTTGGTTTATAATACCTGTTAGCTCCAGCATTTCTCTGCTTAGTTTTTGTCTGGTTGACCTATCTCTTGATGAGAGTGGGGTATTGGAGTCTCCCACTATCAGTGTGTGAGTTTCAGTATGTGATTTAAGCTGTATTAGTGTTTCTTTTACAAACGGCCCTTATGTTCAGTGCATAGATGCTAAGAATTGAAGCGTCCTGTTGGTGTACTTTTTCTTTGATGAGTATATAGTGTACTTCCCTATCTCTTCTGATTAGTTCTGCTTTGAAGTCTACTTTGTCAGATATTAAAATGGCCACAGCAGCTTGCTTCTTAGGTCCATTTGTTTGGAATATCTTCTTCCAACCCTTTACCCTGAGGTAATTGCTATCGTTGATGTTGAGGTGTGTTTCTTGGGTGCAGCAGAATGATGGGCCCTGCATCCATTCTGTTAATGTGTGTCTTTTTATTGCGGAATTGAGAACATTGATGTTGGGAATGAACAGTGTTTGTTGATTCCTGTTATTTTGTTGTGATGGTGTGTGTATGTTCCCCCTCTTTAGATTTGATCGCCTGAACTTATTTATTCCTTGTGTTTTTCCAGGTCTGGTAAACTTTTTTAGATTGGAGTTTTCCTTATATACCTTCTGTGGGGCTGGATTTGTAAATAGATACTGCCTAAGTTTGATTTTTATCACAAAATGTCTTCTTTTTTCTATCTAGCGTGATTGAAAGTTTTGCTGCATATAGTATTTAGAAGTGGTATCTGTGATCTCTCAGAGTTTGTAAAACATCTATCCAGGCCATTTTGGCTTTTAGAGTCTTCACTGAGAAGTCAGGTGTCTTTCTTATAGGTCTGCCTTTATATGTTACTTGGCATTTTTCTGTTGCAGCTTCTAATACTCTTTCTTTGTTTTGTATGTTCAGTGTTTTGATTATTATGTGCCAAGGGGAATTTCATTTCTGATCTAATCTGTTTGGTGTTCTGTATGCTTCTTGTATCTTCATAGGCATCTCCTTCTTAATGTTAGGGAAATTTTCTTTTATGATTTTGTTGAGAATATTTCTGTGTCTCTGAGTTGAGATTCTTCTCCTTCTATTCCTACTATTCTTGTTTGGTCTTTTCATAGTGTCCCAGATTTCCTGGATGTTTTGTGCCAGGAGCTTTTTAGATCTTATATTTTATTTGTCTGAGGTATCCATTTCTTCTATCTTGTCTCAAATGGCTGTCTCTTAGTATTCTGTTGGTAAGTCTTGCCTCTGAAGTTCCTGTTGGAGTTCCTAAACTTTTCATCTCCAGATTTCCTATAGTTTGGGTTTTCTTTTATTCATTAATTTTATTCATTCTATTTCCACTTTCAGGACTTAAATGGTTTTGTTTATTTCCTTCCACTGTTTATTTATGCTTTCATAGATTTTTAAGGGGTTTATTGATTTCCTCTTTAAGGACCTCTATCATATTAATAATGCTATTTTATGATCTTTATCTTGTGCTTCAGCTATGTTGCATTTCTCAGGGGTCTACTGTGCTAGGGTTGCTAGGCTCTAGTGGAAAACATATTGTTCTCACTGTTATTAATTGTATTTTCATGCTGGCTTCTAGGCATTTGGGTTCAGGAAGATTGTAATTCTAGGTGCTGGTGTCTGGTCTTGTCTTTGTTGCACAGATGTTTTGTTCCTTGCTTTTTGTTGCCCTCTCTGGTTGTTAGGAGAGTGTGGTGGCTGTGTGTTGCCTGGTAGGGAATTTTTCTCAGATAGGTGTTGCATGGGAGAGGGGTCCTGGTAAAATGGGTTTCTAGGTATGGGAACTGGCACTTAGGAATGGAGAAGGCCTGGGAGGAGTGAGGGGGTCCACAGAAGAGAGGAAATCAGGGTGTTCCACAGGACGTTGCTTTAGTCCCCTGGGAATGGGGCCAAGAGTGAGAAGAAGCACAAACAGGGAGTCTGCTACAAATCTAGGAATGAGACTGGGGTATTGGATTTGGAGGGGGTGTGAGAGTGAAGATCTGAAGTTCACCTACCTGCTATAGTGACATACTTAATTCTCTGGCGGGCTTGGCTGCTAGGTTCCCAGGGAGTGCCTGCTGGAGTTGGGGACTGGAATACAGCCATGAGTTGGGGGAAGGAAGTTTGGAGGGGAAGATTTGTGTGATCCACTGGAGATGGGGGGAGGGGGAGTTGGGAGACCACAGCAGATGGTCTGTTACAGAGTTGGGGATGAGACTGGGGGGATGGATTTGGAGGAGAGGAGGGAGAAGTGAAGCTCTGTAGTTAGCCTACCTGCTTCCCTGGCCAGGTAGCCCAGCTCTTTTGCACATTACATCCCCTCTCTCTCTGGATTCCAGGACAAATGGGAGAAAAAGGCTAGCGAGAATAAGAGCTTTGACATCTTCTGTGATGTAGGACACATGGCGCTGGACACCCTCATGAAGTGCACCTTTGGCAAAGGAGACAGTGGCCTAAACGACAGGTCAGAGGCACCTCTGCCCAGGGCTCTCAGATAAGGAAGCTGAAGGGCTCCTGATCTCTGGTTGCAGAGGTCCTGCTTTGGTTTGCCTTGGCCCTGCTCGGGGTGGAAGACACATTTGGTGTTAGTGAGGAGGCTGAAGGAGGCAAGAAGAGGAATGGGAAGTATTTTGGATAGGATTCCTAAAAGAAAGCTACTCAGGCCTCTTCCCTCCCTCCACCCTCTTCTGCCTAGAGACAGCAGCTACTACCTGGCAGTCAGTGAGCTCACATTGCTGGTGCAGCAGCGCATCGAATCCTTCCAGTACCACAATGACTTCCTCTACTGGCGCACTCCACACGGCCAGCGTTTCCTGCGGGCCTGCCAGATAGCCCATGAGCATACAGGTGGGCCTTTCCTTCAAGCCCCCTGTCCCCCTGCCATCGCATGCCAACTAGGAACCCTTGGCTCTTCCCCTGGAATCCTTTGCACCCTTCCTGATACAGGGCCAAAGTAGGCAGTGACACCTGTGCTCTTGGTCCAGACCAGGTCATCAGGCAGCGGAAGGCAGCCCTTCAGGATGAGAAGGAACAGAAAAAGATCCAGCAGCGGAAACATCTGGACTTCCTGGACATTCTCCTGGGTGCTCGGGTGAGTGAACACAGTCCACCCTACCTGGCAGCTGGTCCCAGGGAGGCCTTTAGACTCTCCTTCTAAGACAGGCTCCTTGCTCAGCAAATATAACCTACTGCTTGCCCATGGCAAAAATCAGTGAAGGTAAAAATGCAGCATGTGTGTGGTTTGGCTGAGACACCAGGGAGCTGGCAGCCTGGATCACATGGTAGCAGCTTGAAGATATTTCTAGACTTCTGAGATTCCTAAACATCTTGGCATTGTAGAAGCTTAGAGGTTAGATTTCATTTTCTTTCCTTCTTTCCTTTCCTTTACCTCTGTCCCCTTCCTCTGTCCCTCCCTTCTTCCTCCCTGCTTCTCCTTTCCTTCCTTCCTCTATTCCACAAAATTTGGTGCCTACCCTGAATCAATGCCTGTGCTAGCATGCAGAGATAAGAAAGACTTGGCATGGCCATCCATCTGCATATGGTATAGTGGCCAGATTGGGGGAGGTAGTAGGTGGATGTTGACAAAGATTTTTTCTCTGCCAGCTAAAAGCAGTATGCCTAATGAGCAATATTTGGGGCTGAGTAAAGTTACATGTGTCCAGAGTGCTCAGGGAGGGTTTCATGAATGAGAAGCATCTCGGCCAGAATTGGAAGGGACAGAGGAATCTGGAGGAAGACTCCTAGTCTACCAACAAGTGTTCATATGCTTCGTCAGATCTGCATCTGACAGCTGCTCTTGGGCATCTTCTTTGCCCTAACTCAAAGGCCTTGAGCTCTCCCATGGTGCCTTCTTTCAGGATGAAGGTGGGATCAAGCTGTCAGATGCAGACCTCAGGGCTGAAGTGGATACCTTCATGTTTGAAGGCCATGACACCACCACTAGCGGTATCTCTTGGTTTCTCTACTGCATGGCCCTTTACCCTGAGCATCAGCAGCGGTGTAGGGAGGAGGTCCGTGAGATCCTAGGAGACCAGGACTCCTTCCAGTGGTGAGTGAATCTGAGAGGCAGCTTGGCCCTTCTTGCTCAGCCCAGGAAGGGGTTGTGCTTATCCTGCCAGTGCCTGCCAAGGACAACCCACACTTATTCTGGAAATGAGGTGAAGTTGGCAACAGTTGTTCCCTTTCTTTTGGTTGTGTAGCTTTCTTGGGGGGTTAACTCTAGATGTACCCCCCCTTTAACCAGTCTCCCCAAATGGAGGCATTTTAGTGTCGCAGAAATTGTCAACAGAGGCTGAATTTCATAATGGCAGAATATGGACCCCTACTGGGCTTCTGGATAGAGTAGAGAGGGCTGAGAAAGTGGAGGAAGTCGGAGATGACCGTGGGAAGACAGATGGGAAAAAGCCAGTCCCTTGCCATCTGCCTTTGGATGACAGCACAGAAGCCCCAGACTCCACATCCCTCATCACGTTAAAGGAGACAGATCCTAAATGCCAAAAACTTCTATGTGTCCCTCCTTGTTCCTCAGCTCAAGTCTGAAGTCCTGAATGTGACACCAGCTGAACCAACTTCCAGTTCAGAGTGGTCTCTGAGAGTCCCACCCAGGCCTCTTCTGTTGCTTCCTCCTCCTAGGCCTTTGGAACCTGACAGTCCCTCATCCCATTGAGTTCCTGATCCACCTCCAGCATGGGGCAGGACACACAGCAGGGATTGAGAAATTGGCCTATCAGTGTCCAAGGGGGACTGATCTGTAATTCCAGCATCAGAGATTTGAAGGATGGAGTCTCCATAGCTAATGTGTACTTGTGGGATGTTGGAAACCTTCCAAGGGGTCCAGCCATGTGCACGGTGCTATCTGGAGCACATTGCAAGTATGAAGAGGAGAGACAATTTGCTGCTCTTGGGGAGTTCTCAGAAAGTCAGACTCACATGGCTGAAATCCAGAGAAGGCTGCAGGATGGAGTAACACTGAGTGGCCAGGACGTTGAGGGTAGAGGGTGAGGAGGGGAGGGGCTTGAGTTGACTTTAGAAAGAAGGTTGAAACTCAGGCGAAGAGAGCCATGCTCTCTAGCCAGATAATCATGTATACAGTCTGAGGCAGGGAATTAAATACTTATTTTGTTTTCACATAGTTTTATCCAGAATTTGAAGCAACTTAGAGGATACTTATTTAATAAAATAGTACAAGAATTGAAAAATCAGGATTATGGGGAGAGTGAGTTGGAATTTGGGGCTCTGTAAGAAGGTATTATATAGTTCTGATGATTGAATTTTACATTTGGTCTGAACTTCATGGTGTCCAAAGTGGGTATTTATGTGAATTTATCATTATTCATCCATGGACATTGGTTGATTTATTTAACTAACAAGTATCAGGCCACCTTTTCCATTCCATGGCCACAAGGGAAGCCAAGCAGAAACTAAAGAAATGTCCCTTGTGGGAGTTCTGTAAGGCACTGAAAGACACAAAAGGGACCTTGTCTTTGAGGGTTGGGTACACGTATGTCTCTTGGATCCTGTGCCTTCTCCTCCCAGAGCACTAGGTTTCTCTGGCCACCCAGTGTGACATTATGCTTAGGCAAGTGAAGCCCCCTTGACTCCTCTGTTGGAAGTATGGTGGTGACAGAAGGTGAAAATGATATCATGGTGAAGTTGGGGATGGGGCCTACCCTCTCCTGGGATCCCTGTTCCCAGTTCCCAAGTGTCCCGTGTTGCTGGCAGGGACGATCTGGCCAAGATGACCTACCTGACTATGTGTATCAAGGAGTGCTTCCGCCTCTACCCACCGGTGCCCCAGGTGTACCGCCAGCTCAGCAAGCCAGTCACCTTTGTGGATGGCCGCTCTCTACCTGCAGGTGGGTTGGGGGAAAATGGTAGGGTGGAATGAAAGTCCTCTCAATGCTCTTTGATATTACCTGTGCCATTGGACAATCTTTACATTACGCGGAGAGAGTTCAAGCTTCGTGTGCTGAGCCCTGGGCCAGAGCACTGGCCTCACAAAGTAAACTTGTCTCTGCCCCCAAACCTCTAGTTTCTCTTCTCTAAAATAGGGCTGAGGATATAAATATGGGTATGAGAATATAAACTTCATTTTCCTCCTAGGTTTTAGGGTGATTATGTGGATTCATCTTTTTGTGGATTGAATTAGCAAGAACTATTTTTTGTCTTCCTAAAGAATCCAACATGAGTTACTCCTTTGAGGTAGTGATTGTGAAAGTTGGCTTTTCTTTTTAACTGTTAGTGCAGCAGGACCCAGGCATGGCCAATCACTGGGTACTGTTGCTGCATTTTTCTCAGGGGAGGGGTTCTTGTAACCTGAATCTTTCTTTTTTTCTTCTGTTTAAAACTGCATCAAGGTAGGGGGTAGTGTCGCATGCCTTTAATCCTAGCACTTGGGAGGCAGAGCCAGGAGAATCTCTGTGACTTAGAGGCCAGTCTGGTTAACAGAACGAGATCCAGGACAGGCACCAAAACTACACAGAGAAACCTTGTCTTGAAAAAACAAAAAAGAAAAAAAAACTATACCAAATGATTCTACTATGGTGCTATTTAACAAGCAGATTGTAATGATATGTGTAAAATAAAACAAAAAATGAAAATGGGGGGGAAGAATACATTTTTCATGACAATGATCTTCAGAGTTTTCATTCACACTGTGCCTATCTGATTGCACCCTGGACAACTCCAGGAGATGATTCACATAGACTATGATGCAATGTGTGTATAACATGTTCAACTCTGTGTTGAGGCTTCATAAAAATATTCAGACCTGGGCCTGACATGTAGTAAGCATCAAATGAAGGGTATCTCTTATTATTAATAGCATAATAGCTTCCTGAGAGTTAGTTAATTGAAAGTCAAAAGGCTATAATTAAGTAGCTCCTATTTGTCCCACTTTGTGGTGGGGTGGGCTCACCATTCTTGGTTTTCATTCCACAGATGTATAGGTGAGGCACTATTCTCAGTTCCTGGCTCCTGGAGCAGTTGATTATGACGATTAAAATACTTTGAATGTGACCAAGAGCTCAGTGTCACTGGCAGTGCACAGACAGAGGCTAGTGTCCCAGATAGGGGGACATTAGGGGATTCAGTCCTAATGTGGAGGTGGGCCTGGCTGCCTCACAACACTTCGTCATCAGGCCTCTTTTCTGCTTACAGGCAGTCTCATCTCTATGCACATCTATGCCCTCCATAGGAACAGTGCTGTGTGGCCTGATCCAGAGGTACTGCATCTCTGGGTTTGGAGGGTAGACAGGATGTGGGCTGTGGGGTTACCTCTGGCAGGATCTGGTGAGTATTTAAGCAAGCCCTATCTCCTTAGGTCTTTGACCCCTTGCGCTTTTCTCCTGAGAATGTGACAGGACGCCACCCCTTTGCCTTCATGCCTTTTTCTGCCGGGCCCAGGTAGGGAGAGGGACAACATTCTCAGGCCCTCAAGACTGGGGGTGAAAAGTGAAGGTCATCATTGGGGAGGCGTCAATATGGAGTTCTCTGTGATAATGGGGGCCTTTTGCTATTTTTTCCTGTTTCTGGTAAATGGGTGGGGTACGTGTTTCCTTCTGTGAGAGACTGCAAGCCAGAACTACCAATGGGACAATGCCCAGTGGGACCCTTTACCATGCTCCCGAGTTTTGCCTTTTAAGCCCAGGTCAACAAATCAATCATTCATTATGCATTCAAAAATAGTTACTTTTTTTTGTGGGTCTCTAAGAACACTGGATAGCCAACAACCTGATGTTTCTTTGTGCTGCTCGCTGCAGGAACTGCATTGGGCAGCAGTTTGCCATGAATGAGATGAAGGTGGTCACAGCCCTTTGTTTGCTGCGCTTTGAATTCTCTCTGGATCCCTCAAAGCTGCCCATCAAGCTTCCCCAGCTGGTCCTGCGCTCTAAAAATGGCATCCACCTCCACCTGAAGCCACTGGGCTCTGGGAAATAGCTCTTCAGAGACTACAGCTTAGACATCACAGGCTGTAGCTTTTTCTGGGATGTTGCTATCCTAGCTTGAATGTAGAGTCATCATGGATCCCTGCTTTTGGGGGGCTTATAGATGTGAAAGCATTGGCACTGACAGTCTCGTGAAGGCAGTCCCTTGTAAACACATGTGTCTAATGACTCCATGACTGAACTCTGCAGCTCATTCCTTCACTCCACAAACATTTGTTGAACATCTGGGTGTCTTGAGAAACTTCATTTGTTTCTCGTAACTAATGTCTTTCAAAAACAAACAAACCACAACCAGAAAAATACATTCCATCCCTTGAAAAATCTTGGTGAAGACCATGGAAATGTTGCCTTGACATTTGTGGAAGTTGGATGGGAAGGAGGGATGGTTTGGACAGAAGGTGACTCTTCATTGACTTGCATTTCTTTAACTGCCTCTGTGTATTTGGAATATAACAGACACAACGAAAAACTGTTTAAAATAAATCTCTACAAATAAAGAATAATTCCTAAAGCACCCTCCCACCACTAAAGTGAAAGAATGTGAAAGATGTCTTTACTGGGGTGATTCTTTCTTGGGATATGTCTCTCTGGCATTCTTGTCATCTGCAGCAGTGGTGTCTCATAGTCATACAGTGCTTTGGGCATTCACAGTATTCCTAGGGAAGGTGTACAGTAGCACTAAAGAGGAATTCCTGGGAGAAAGGAAACTCTTTCCACAAGGCATGACTGTGCAAAGAAGGACTTTTGGGGTGGAGTTCAAGGTGGGGCCCACATGATGACTAAGAGGTGTTTCCCTGGCAGTCCCTGCAGCAGTTGCTTGATGGCCATGAGTACTTGTATCTCTAGGGTTAAAGGTCTGGAGTCACTGGAAGGGCACTAGAAACTAGGATCAGAGGCAATAGCTAGGAATTCTAGCCCTGGGACTTGGTAAAGTCTCTAGGGCAGCAGTGCTCGACCCAGGAGGTTGGATAGGGTTTATTAAACCTTTCACATTGTACACCTAAGACCACTGGAAAACACAGATATTTGCATTGCAATTCATAACAGTAGCAAAATTACAGTTGTGAAGAAGCAATGAAAATAATTTTATGGCGGGGGGTCACCACAACATGAGGAGCTGTATTAAAGGGTCGCAGCATTAGGATGGTTGAGAACCACTTCCCTGGGTTATGTGCCATATGCTTTCTTACTACTGGATCTTTTCCACTTGGAAGAAGTGGAAAATCTTGGCAAATCTGCCTTAGGACACTTGCTAACTCCTACAAAGCCACGTCAAGACCCAGATCTTGTAAACTTGAAGCTGGGATGCAAAGGTCCCATTATAGCGTGCCTGTTGGCTATGATAATGCAACTAACTTGCCCTTTTGTCCTAACACCAGATAAACTGCTCTCTGAAGAAATGTAGTAAGGTTTCAACACTCTGTGCTGATTCTGTGGTCATAACCACCATGTGCCTCTAGGTGGCACCTGAATCTAAACAATATCATTTTAGATCTTCAGAACCCTGGCCATCATGAGGTATGGACAGGATGGAGACACCCCTTCTCTGATAGGAGGAAACTGTGACTGCATTTTAATGTTAAGGGAAGAATATTGAGAGACTCTAATCTAGGAGGAAGTTGAGCTGAGGCTTTCTGACTCTGATGTCTTTTGTTCAAAACTCTATCATTAACATCAGTTCTTTCTGAGTATATGAATCAGTGGGAATAAAGTCAAGAACTCTGGTGTGTGTGTGTGTGTGTGTGTGTGTGTGTGTGTGTGTAAGTGTGTGTATTGGGACCTCCTGAGTGAGGGAAAGTGGACACTGGGACTGGTGGCCGTCACAGATGACCACAGCTTCATCTTTATGACTTTTGAACACAGCCTGAGACTCCATTGGTCTTGGGCATGCACATGCATGTGCACATGTGTGGGTAGAATGTGTTAAGGGTGTGTATAGAGTGCTTACATGAGTGCCACTTTGTGTGTTCCATGGAGCGTGAATGCATGGGACAGTGAACTGAGCCTAAGTCTTGCTCATTGCTTCCAGGCAGTAGAATCACTTTCTGTTACACATTTCATCCCATTTGGAATCTTGTGGTTAGAGTGCTTGTCCTTGGCTGAGCACCCAGAGTTCCGTCCTCTTACTTTTCCTGTGTTCTCTTAGCATGGCCAGCAGGAAACTTTCTATATTGCTTGAACATTCTGTGCATGACGATTTGGGCTCATGTTCCTGCCCAGCTCTCCCCTTGGTCAGGCACTGAGTATCTAGTCTATCCTCTCCTGCCCAGGCTGCTTTAGCCCAGCAAATTGGTAGTTTTGGAAACTAGGAAGGAGGTCCTGGTTGTAGACAGTGGCTTCAAGAGAAGCCCGTTCTAAGAAGCAGAACATGGCATACCAGGACAGTCTGTGCATGGCATCATGAATCCTAGTCCAGGAGCAGTTTGAAGCAATGTAGGAACATGACAAACACCATGTGTGACACTGGGAACTTTATTGCTGAAAGGAGGGAAGATGGAGAAACTTGTGTGAAGGAGGTCAGGTAGAGAGATACTGTGCAGGAGAGAAGTAGACAAACAGACCAGGTGACAGTCGTGTAAAGGGGATGCCAGGTTTCACAATGGCTTCACAATGATGATCAAGCCGACATCTTGGAGCCCATGAATGGTTATTTCCTCATAATTCAAAAAGGCTTAGTATGTTGGATTGAGTAAGACAAACTGAGCTGGAAAATTATCTTGGATTTTTTTAGTGAGGTTGATGATGCCACAAGAGTCTTTGCAAAAAGGAAGGAAATTATAAGAGAGGGGTTCAGAGGATGCTGGCTTTAAAGCAGGGGTGATGGTCCAGCGCCAAGGAATGATCATTTATACTGAGAGTGGAGGAGGACTCTCCAGAGAACTCTTCAGGAGGAGGTCGGCCACACCAACAACTTGGTTTTCTGCCAGTGACACCCATTTCAGACTTCTGAGATCCAGAACTGTAAGACAATAACTTTCTGTCACTTTAGACAACCAAGGGTTGTGACAGTTGATGACTGATGTAATGAAGAAGTCATGTAGGGAAAAATAAGATGACACACACACAAGAAGCGAGGAAAGGAGGTAGAGGACAGAGGAGATCAGGGTTCAGATGTGGGTGGTAGGATACAGACAGAAACTAGGGAATGTAGAGGAAGGAGAGAGAGAGATGGACAGACAGGAGGACTGGAGGCACAGGAGCAAACAGGGCTGAAGAAAGATGAGCAGATGGAAGGTAAGATGGTGACAGGAACAGATGGCCTGAAGACAGGATGTTAGGCAGCGTGCTCTTAGAGCCTGTCCTTGTCCCTACCAGAATTAGTGGATCTTCTTGAGATACAGGTAGATCCCATTCTTGGATTTCAACACAAGTCGTGGTAAGAGGATGGGGACCCTGGTGGGATCTGGTAGCAGCTCAAAGCGGAGCAGGGTCAGGGCCACAACCACCTTCAGCTCATTCATGGCAAATTGTTTCCCAATGCAGTTCCTGGGTCAGAAAGGGACAACAAAACTCAATGACCTCTGACCCCAGAACATCATTCAAGCCCTGCCTTCACAGGTCTAACCTTTGTCATTACAGGCCACACCCACTTCTTCCTCAGGCCTTGGCTCTCCTGATTTTGATACAGCCTCTACATTTTTCAAGGCTACTTTGACCCTAGTTGTTTTAGAGTTACAAAATCTATTAGGCCAGTATTCTAAGGATTAGAGCTTGTGAATCATTTAATAAGTTAATCATTGCATAGTTAACTCCATCCAGGGAGATCTAGGGCATGAGTTTCAAAGAGTGAAATGAGATTTCAGTAGAAAGTTCCTACAGGGGGACTGAGTTGGGGCTCTTCAATTGGCTATCCCATCTGCATCCTACTTAGGGTACCTCTACCTCCTTCATCCATCAGCATCTTTAGTCTTCTAACTCTGCTTCAGAAATGTCCCTTGTTTCTCCTCCAGGCTTCTTTCTTGGACTTCTCTGGTCTTCCTGACCCTCCTACCACAATGACCCTCTGTAATTCCATTAGGTAGGGCTGTATTCAGATGCCTCGCTACAGCCATACCCTCTACTGGCTGGTGCCCTCACCTCTTTCCCACTCATCTCACGTCCTACTTTGGATCAAGTTGTTAAGGTCTTTAACAACTCCTTAACAGGCTGCATATTCCCAAAGCTCAGGCCAATGAGCAGCTGGCTTCTTTACTTTGCTGACTGCCCTGTTGCTCCTGGGCACCCAAGGCCATATTCAAGGACATGCCACAGTCAGGGCATGGCATGATGTCAGGAACATGGAACATTTTGCAAACTGCTCAAATAATGAGTGAAAGAATGGAGGAAGAATATATTTTTGAGAATAGACATATTTGTCTTGTGGAATACAGTTTTGAACTGGAGGCAGGGATAGGATCGTATCATTCATTCCCATGTTTTTATCTAGCATAGCACTTGACACACAGGAGTGCCTTCATAAGTTATTATACATTTAAAATAATTATTTTTACTTGACTCTAAAATTTAATTCATTTGAATTTAAAAAATGAAAAAAATGGAATGAAATACAATGAAAATTAAAAAACTTCTGAACTAAGCAAGGTGTGGTGGCCTGTACCTGAATTTCAGAACTTGGGAAGTTGAGGCAGAGGGATCATGAGCTCCAGGCAAGCCTGGGACTGTCTCAGAAAACATCAGCAGCAGTATGGTTCATTCCAACTTAAGCTCAGTTACCCAATACTCTCCTGTCTTCTAGTGTCAGTGACATGGTTTGCAGTGAGCAGAGGTGGGATGTTCAATCCTGAAGTACACCAAAAGCTAGATAGCCTGTGTCTGGAAGAACAACTGGCTTAAAGCCTGCTCTGTGAAAGCTTATTTGCCACTTGAGGAATTCATGAAGTATAGGCTCAGAAACATGTGCTTCTGCACTGTCTTGTTAAGCTCACAGTGAGTCGGGTCCCACGGGAGCCTTCGAGGATTTTCCTAGAAGCCATTGGAAAGCCTTTGTCTGGTTCAGTAGCTATATCAAGAGTGTTTTACATTTCACTCACCAGGAACCTTAAAAAATGCTATGTGTTACTTATAAAACAGAGGGTTTACTAAAAAAAACAAAACAAATAAAACAAAAAAACAGCTTAATCTCCTCCTCCTCAGTGCTTTTTGTCTGAAGAGAGACCACTCATCCTCTAATGTAACTTCAAGGAATGTATATTCTCTGTCAAGGTTTGGCCATTGGGCAATCAGGAGAGGGCTGTGAACATCAGCACTGATTCTCGGGTTGTGCTGGGAGCGAGTTCACAGGGAGTCGACACACTTGGAGTAAACCTTTCCTTAAAAGACCCACTGTAACTCCTCAAGCATCTGACTGGACAGTTGTCCATGCACACACCCCAGCAAACTAATCACTTGCCACATTGATTCTGGACTTAGAGAACTACCCAGCAAGGGTAGTGGGCCTGGCTGAGGTGTGGAAAAAGGCAGGACCTTTAAGAAT